CCCTCTCACGTCCTGTACTTTCCTCAAAGGCACGATCTTTTATTTTTCATATTTCTGGAGGCTAAGCCAGGGAGCAGCTGCATCCCCAATGCAGCTGCCCATGCAAAGCTTTGCTCTGAGAGAAAAAGACAAACATAGAGGTGACGAAATGGGAGTTTGCAGGTCGTTTTGGAGGCACCCCCTGGCAAGCAGATAATGCTAGATTACAGTGATTACTATGAATTGTGTGCTCTTCGACTGGTTCCATGATACTGGGATCATAGTGTCCCTGTGAGGGGCCCACATGAGAGTATTGTAGTAAGGGGGGGGAAGGGGAGGTGTCTTGCTATTTCCGTGTTGGGTTTGCTTGCAGCCTACTCCTCTGACATGTTTCTTACCACGTCAACCCTCCGTTCTTGCTCAGTTTGTCTGGCCTACATGTGCCTACTTTTCGGGTGAGATCCACGTTCGAGCAATTTCTTTCCTTTTTTGTTCTCATGCGACTTCACGTTTCTCTATTCGTTATGCTCCATGCTTGCTGCTTTCTTTATCTATCTTCCTCGTTTTGACTCTCTTTCTTTCTTGCAGCTGTCATCTTTCCTCCCATTTTTCTCCTTTTCCCCGTGTGTGTATCACCTTCAGATTCTTCTCTTTTTTTTATCCTCCTCTTTTCTTGCTCTGCGGTTCCTCTATGGGATCTTTTGCCCCACGCACTCCTCTCCTCTCCACTTCTTCCCAGTGCCTAGCATATCTGGTCTTCTCTCCTGTCTCTTCTTGTCTGCTTGTTGCTTCCTCTGTCAGATCTGCTGCTGACTCTGCCTTTTGCGATTCCCACAACCGTCTTCACCCGAATAGAATGCCCGGTCATTATCGCTGTTTGTAGACTGAAAGTTGCACCAAATGTGGCTGTAATGACCGGGCGTTCTATTCGGGTGACGACGGTAGGCTGAACTCGGATTCGCTAAGGGCTTCTGGAGACGGTGTAGAGTTTGTTCGAAAGATTTTTCCCACACCATGGAGAGGATGGGTCCAATTCTGTGCATCTTTGGCCGCTTTTTTTTTGTTGTTAATAAAGAAATCTAGCAGTCTGTTGCTTTCTGACATGTATGAAATACTATGAATCATAGATTCATCATGTCATTGAGGGAGGCGGGAGCTCTTGCAATCAATGAAGGGGAATATAGGCTGGTATCCCAGGCTTAAAGCTAACCCCCAAAATGCGCTACACTACGATGCTGCTGCAGATTCCAGTATATTATTTCACATATAAGCAGTAGACTGTGACTTTTTTGCTTGGCGCATAGAGGAGGTGGAGAAAGTGGGTGAAGGGACAGGAACTAAGGGGAAAGAGGCAGTGACGATTCTCATGCTTTCTGCCATGGCAGTGACGGTTAGGTTTATCCATGTCATCATCACATAGAGTTGATCACCACCAGTCTCTCCGTACCGTTTTTCTCTTTGCTGATGACCTCACAATACTCTTTTTTGTTTTTGCTGATCTTCTCTGTATCGTTCCAATTTTAATGGATGTCCTGAAGGACACCTCGCATTACTCATCACAGCTGGGCTACCAGCCGGGATGCCCGGGTCACCCTGTTTGACCGGGTGGCTCGGCCGTGTGAGGACCGGCAAAGGGCCCAGCAAAAGAAAAAAGAAAAAAAGATCCAAAAAATCTGAAAAGTGAAAACAAAATTATGTGACGGCGGTGACGCACAAAAGCAGCAAACTGAACAACTCTTGCCTCATGCAGGCTATTGTTGTCCTCCAAACATAATACACCCTCATCATGACTTTATCGGACCGGAAAGATTGCTTGTATGCAGTCATGGAGGTGTTGTTTTCGGGGCACAATGGTAGCATTGGGGATGAAGGCGAACTGGGGAAAAGCCACAGGATGGTGGCTATTGGACAAAAGGCCCCCTGGGACAGAAGGCCCTGAAAGTGACCTAAATTGGGGGAACGTGGAGGAGGCCACTTGGTGTGTTTGAGGATCATGGAGGCTAAAAAGGGCCAGCAGCATTGATGGGACACACTTTACTGGCTGGAACGATCGACATGCAATCAGACTCGTTCTCATTCACACTTTCCATGCATGTAAACAGCAGCGCAGCAAACTGGCGACATGCGTTCACTCAAAACTCAGAGATATAGCATCCAGATACGAGTTCACTTTCAACTGGCTATGGCGACTCAGCGCCCAAACAACTCACTGTTCACATACCCCGGATCACCCTGGATATCCCACACGCGTCACTCTGAACACTCACAGATACACACACACACTTCACACTAAACTACAGCTATGGCAGCTATGGCTGCCTCTACCCTATCGCTATGCTACGCTCCTTCTCTCTTGCCCACTTCAGCTCCGGGCTCTCTGCAGACCTCCTTGCACAAGTCGCTGTGGCAGCGCTTCCGCATGGCTCATGCAGGAATCAATGAAAGGCTGGGCGCTGCCTCTTGATTTATACTTCTGAAACTCATTGGTCTGCCCTCTTCCATCGGCCCATGGTGCTCACAGTCCCTTGTGGTACTTGCTGGACCGAACTGGGACTGACTGGACCTTACCGCTGACTGAGTGGGGACTCACTGCTAACCTACCGAGATCGTACTGCAATTGCACTGCAGTTTAGTCCACCACTTGACTCACCACTTGCCCACTTGCCCACTTGCTGACCTTCTAGAAGGACTACAGCTAAGACTTCTGGAACTCGGTAAGACTTCTATCCTACAGATCTACAGATCGAACCCCTCTACTACCTACGGACCTATGACAGCCTATCAACTGTTTGTGAACACACAGGTCACAGGTTCAACTCTCGGGGTCTACACAGGTAGGGCAAGGTCTAGGGATCGAACCCTGGGATCTGCGCCTGCTACTGCAAAGAGGTGAAAACCGATTCAGACAGGCTAGAGAGATGGGGGCAGACCTTTTGACTCCTGGCATGGGAGAGCTTTAGTGGTAGATGCCTCCGTTTTATCTGTGCTTCACCTCAATTTGGACTGTTCCATAGAGGAATTAAACAAGAAAGTAAGTACGAGCACAGCGCAAGGCAGGCGACAAGATCATGGAAAATGTTAAAATTCCATCCCAAAGACCCAAATGAAAGAGGCCGAGGAATCATTGACTGTAAACAAGAAACCAAAGCCCTGCAATTCAAATGGGTAATAAAAATGTTCATGAAGAACTTATGATGGAGGGTGACGGTGAAGTCTCTGGTTAATATGAAGGGCCTGTTATGGATCATGCATGGCTAAGGACTGGACTCCGAAATCGGTCAGGAGACGCAGGTCACAGGGAGCTTAAAAGTCAGTGAAGTCCCTGGCTAACATGAAGGGCCTGTCATGGATCATGCATGGCTAAGGACTGGACTCCGAAATCGGTCAGGAGACGCAGGTCACAGGGAGCTTTTAAGTCAGTGAAGTCCCTGGCTAACATGAAGGGCCTGTTATGGATCATGCATGGCTAAGGACTGGACTCCGAAATCGGGTAGGAAATGAAGGCCGTGAGGAGCTTTTAAGATGGTGAATTCCCTGGTTAATATGAAGGGCCTGTTATGGATCATGCATGGCTAAGGACTGGACTCCGAAATCGGGCAGGAGACGCAGGGCCGAAGAAGTTTCTTCTGCCCCCGACACCCCACTGGAAGAGTAATAAGACCATGGAGAGAAGTATTCCAGTAAAAGAAACTAGCGCGCCCAAAGTGAAGGAAGAAGAACTCAGACAGTGACTATGCTGTGATCCATCGATCTGTAATGAGGGGAATCACCCTTGGATGCTGACAGCTAGGGACCACAGATGGCGTTCCTGGGTAGAGACAGGGATCTCGGAAGTGGACCACCTATGGGATGATGATGCTAGGGACTGGGTAAGCCCAGAAGAACTAGCAGGGTGCAAAACTCTAAGGACGGCCTAACTTGATGGAGAACCTTTCAAGTTGCAATCATAATTTAGCGCATCTTGGCTAGATTGCAATCATACTCGTTTTCTTCTTCACTCCGCATGCATACAAACAGATGGCAGTCCACACTGGCGCTGGGCGCCCACACAAAGATGAGAGATATTGAAGCTGGAGACACAGTTCAGTTACAAACTCGCTTCAATCCAACTATGGCGCCTGAGCGCTGGCAAATCCCTCTTCACCTTCTCTGTTCACACGCACTTCACACTGGATATCCCTGGATATCCCACGCACACAACTCAGTACAAAACATACACACACACTGACCTCTATCACTAAGCTACAGCGGATATGGCCGCTCTACTACTGCTGGCTATGGACGAACTATCTCCCTTCAGCCCACTTCAACTTCGGGCATCTGCAGACCACCTTGCACAAGACGCTGTGGCAGCACTTCCGCATGGCTCACGCAGGAATGAATAAATGGCTGGACGCTGCCTCTTGATTTATACTTCTGTAAGTCGCTGGTCCGCCCCTTTTCCACCGGGCCCCTGGTACACAGTCCCACATGGTACTTGCTGACTGGACAAAGTGAGACTGGGACTGGGTACCACTGACTAAGCGAAGTTGGACTCACCACTTTCCCACTTGCCTCTGGTCTGCTGTGAGTAACGTGAAAAAAACTCGAAAGGCCGCTTCCAGACCTTCCGGAAGTCTGTGGACTTGGCCTTTCGGGTTGCTACAGCTACAGCCTCTACACAGCTATGACCCCTACTCGACAGACCTACAGATCACACCCCTACATGTACACAGACCTACGACAGACAACAGACAACTACCAAAACACAGGTCACGGGTTCAAACACACAGGGGTCGACTCGATACTGTACACGGGTGCGGTAAGGTCTAGGGATCGAGCCCTGGGTCTGCAGCTGCTACTGCTAAGGTGAAAACCGTTTCAAGATGGAAGCCAATTCTAGAGGAAACACTTTCCTGGGAGGTAGGGGATTGGGGCTTGCGAATTTCAAGAAATAGCCCCCAGCAGAGCCTACTGTTTCTCCCACAGACTTTCACGAGCAGGGTACTTCTTGGACCCTTTCCCGGCTGTGGAGGGGACAGGGCTCGACAGGACTACGGTAGCGTCTCATGTCAAGTACACGAGCAGCGTAATGATGACAATATGCAGCGATGTCAACATGAAAATGTGAGCAACAAGTACGCACATGTAGTGCTTGCCCAGGGCTGGGTAGGTCATTTGCTAAGTTGGTCTCTGGCTCAAACAGTACTGGTCTGCTACTGAACCTGGCAGGTTGTCAGGCCAAAAATATACTTGTCCACTCGGCTGTCATGCCGGAGGACCTCCCGAGGTGCTGGTTCAATTAGTGCTGTCCTGCCACTGAACCTGGCAGTTTGTCAGGCCAATATACTTGTGTCGACCCGGCTGTCATGCCAAAGGACCTCCCGAGGTGCTGATCTGCCATTACCATCCATTCCAGTGTGGTTGCCAAAGGAGCTTGCAGAGAACACACTTTTTCCTTGGCTTCGAACTCAGCCCTGGAACGAAAGAAATCTCCACTGAAAATATATATTTGCAGCCCTGTGTTCGACTCCACACTTCATTTCATCTGGTACTTGCAAAGGCAGACGCCAAATGATTGTGATTTCCTCCTGGAAAAAGGATGAATTTAGTGCCAAGGCCCAAGACCATAATGCAGACTTTGAAGATTGCCAAACCCAGAATGCATTTGGACATGCAGTCAGCTAAGTGCATGGTTTGTACAGGGATGCGCAGACATCTAGGGGCATTCTGAGAGTGGCAACCGTGGAATTGAAAAAGTTGCGAAAAACAGCAATCGCATATTCCCTTTGAAATTTCGCTATCGTTTTGATGTTGGCATAGCTACTGGGTTTGCTTACAAGTCCTCAACCATGATAACGCTTGTGTTGATGTTCTGTCGTTGGCTCATGGTGCGGTTTTTGTGTGCCCGCTGACCTGTTCATGCGCTTTTCCCAGAAGCTGTACCGGTCGACACTCCAACTGAAGCCTGGAATTCGCATTGATTCAAATATGAACCCTTACATTGACTCTCGGTATGGTAAAGCAAATGCTATCTGAATGTTTCAATCTTCTCATTAACAAACGAATTTTGTTTTCGTCAATCTCAATCCTGAATCTTTCTTCAGTGCCAATTGGTCAAATACTGTAACTAAACAGCTTTTATGTTGAGCATCAAGACGGCAGGCTGCTTTAAGAATGCCGCAGACACTTTTGTTCACAGTTATGTTGGACCTGAACATGCTGATCAGACCTGCACTAGGCCGCATATACTATCCAGATGCCTCCATCTGATTAGCAGCAGTGGAGTGCACGAAAAACGTTTTATTTTTGTATTATTATGATGGTTATTGCTACCATTATTACAAAGAAGTGTTTGACCACTGCAGCTCCACATGCAAGGAGTAGGCACCTGTTCCAATGAGCCGCCTTTCCTCCCCCTGTGGCCCCCTTCTCTCTGTCTCTGTTTTTGACCCTCTCTCTCTCTCTCTCTCCTGTCAACCACAGGTTGGCAGGCAGGCAAATGGGCCAAGTAGCGCAGGGCAGGGTGGCCGGGTTGAGAGAGGGCTGGGCCAGGCCGGGCAGAGCAGGGCGGGGCAGGGTGGGGCAGGGTCGGCCAGGGCGGGTGTGTAGGTGGCCTAGCGAACGGACAGCTGGATGGGCAAGGAAGACAGCCATGCAGGCAGTGAGGAAAGAGAACAGATATACTGTCATGCTCCCCCCCTCCCCTCTCCCCCCCCTCCACCTCCCCCTCCTTCGCCACACACACATTCAAACACACATTCCGGTCTTGCTAGCTCTCTGTCTTGGAAGATTTGAGCGGTTAGGACCGGGCTTGTACTAGTGAGCTACTCTTTCTCTGTGGATGGATGTGTTTTGCTGGTTTGTTTTTTTATACATGGCCTAATTCTTTACCCTGCTTTGCAGCATGGGCTGTCTTGTCGATGAAGTAATGTCTGTGGGGGGCCACACGTTTTTTTAGGGGTGGGAAAATTGGGGTTTTGGCCGCAATGTCTCTGTGAGGAGGCTTAGAGAGTGTTTGCTGTGGGTGTCATTCCTGCGGGCTGCTCTTTTGGAGCACATGGAAGAATGGGGTAGCTTCTAGGGTGTTTTAAACAGTAGCACTCCTGGTGTCGCGTGGAGATCATGTGGAATTCGGCATAGTACGTGCAGTAGCCTCGCTGTAGCGCTAGGATATCATCATATTCTGCAGGTTGTGCGGCAGGAGGAGGTTCATGACACTCTTGGTGTTGTGTACAGGTCCTGCGGTATATTTTTGATTTGTGGTGGTGTTGTAGGCCGTCACAGAGGGCTCAAGTTTTTTTTGAGACCATTGGCATGTGTGGTCGGTGCTTTTTTGTTAGTGGAGCCTGTGTTGTGCTGTTTTGTGGTTTTGTGGGCCACCACGGAAGGCTCTCCAAGTTTTTTTGGACCTATGGCGGATGAGGTCGGTGCTTTCTTGCTGGTGGAGTCCTCTGTCTTAGGTAAGTTGCTTCTTGCCCTCCACCCTTTTATGGATCAACCAAATATATGTATATATCGTCACAAACAGAACTGCCCGGTAAGCCGTAGGCAGAGAGAGAGAAGAGGACAACAAACGAGGGGCTGTGACAAACTGTTTCGTCGGAGTTTCACCGACTCATCAGGAGGCTGAACCCT